AAAATGCCGCCGAGAAGAAAGTTTCAGCACGAAACTGATGATGAAAATGGAAAGTCTAACACTCTGTGGCTATGCCTTAAACCATCGTCAAAAGGAGAACATTTTGTGCATTGCACTGTTTGCAACTTAGACTTTTCCTGTGCACATGGTGGAAGGAATGACTGTTCACGGCATGTGGAATCGGAAAATCATACAAAATTGAAATCATTAGTGAATGGAAATAGAAACATTTTGTCAATGATGAAAGGAAAGGAAGTCAGTGATCAAAACATACTTCAAAAACAAATAACACGTGCTGAGGCGATTCTATGTGAGTTGATCGCAAATATGAATTTGTCATTGAGTACAGCTGACAAGTTAACGGAAGCAATGAAAAATAATTTATTAACCTTATTTCCATTCTAGTAAATATTGACAAAGATGATACTAGATTTTATCAGATAAATAAGATTGCCTTCACCTATCTAGATAAACTTATTATTTTTTAAGTGGATGGGTGGTAACAATGTCATAATGTTTTATATCAAGTCGTCCTTAACCATGTAAAATAGAGAATGGGCTTTAATTAAAATGTTATGGATATGTGTGAAGCTGAGAAAACAGAATTTCTAGAGAAAGTAACGGAGGTAAACAACAATAAATTTGGTTATGTTGTATTTTTTGTGGTTTTTATCACTATAATATGAACAGGATGTTTAAGTCAGTGGTGTTCAATTTCTGCATATTTGTGCCTTGAAACACAAAACTAACTGAATACCAGCATCTTTGCAAACTAAGAGTTATTTACACAATATTGTATAGTCATTATGTCGTGAAATACTACATAATGATAATTATAGTATATTGATTGTATCTACTATTTGTGTGCTGAAAATACTGACTGCAGTCTGAAAATACTGACAGGCATTGCTTAAAATACTGACAGGAAAATTTATGGGTAAACAGGTCTGTAAGTGCAATGATGCAGTTGTCCTGATGTGCAAATAATAATAATAAGAAGAAGATTAATAATAATAATAATAATAATAATAATAATAATAATAATAGTAATTATTTATTTCAGAGAGACAATCCATTTTACTAAACATATACTAATTTCTGAGACTCAGGGGTGTATAATACAGTATTCTATTGATTTACAAACTATATAAAGAAAATATAATTTTTTTTATTGATATCACACATTCAGATGTTTTACTTAAAACTTACATAATGTACATTCATATTTATTGTTGTTTCTTGTTTATAACTGATTAATGCATGCACACAAAAGAGAAACTTAACAGTCTATTTAGTGAGAGATTATATGCTTAGTTACTGGAAACATCTATGCATCCGTGTATCCCAAACCCTACTCACCTAAAGCTTTAACTCCCAGGGATGGATCAGAATTCTTTAAATGATTGTGCACATATACCAATCACTTCCAATTAGGTCCAGAATTTGAAGTCACTATTATGAACAGTAGAAGTGTTATACAACCCATACAGTGGTACAAATACAATGTGGGCAGGATTTCATGATCACTCTCTTTTTTTTCAAAATTGGCATGGTAATAAAAACAGTGACATATATTTAGTTAACTGATTTAATGATTTTTTTGTGATACTGAGATAGGAGATACCATCAGTTGGATATAGAGGTAGGAAAATTAACTAGATTGTCTTAATTTATTTGATTAGTTTGGTTCACTGAATTGTATGTCTTTTGAATCTGGAACATAAATGACATCCCAAGATGCCAGCAACTTGGTAGCAACTGTCATTTATTCTTCTGAATGATTACAAGATGCCAACAACCCAATAACAACTGTTATTAATCCATTGAGTAAGTACAAAGTACAAACAACTCTGTAACAAATGTTAATCCATTGAGTAACTACAAGGTTCAAACAACTCAGTAACAACTGTCATTTATTCCACTGATTGATTTCAAGATGCCAGCAACTCAGTAACAATTGTTATTTATTCCTCTGAATAATTACAAGATGCCATCAACCCAGTAATTGTTATTTATTTCACTGAATAAATTCAGGAACTCAGTAGCAATTGTTATTTATTCCTCAGAATTATTACAAGATGTCATTAACCCAGTAATAACTGTTATTTATTCCCCTGAATGAATTAAAGATACCAGGAACTTAGTAGCAATTCTTATTTATTCCTCTGAATAATTACAAGATGTCATCAACCCAGTAATAACTGTTATTTATTCCCCTGAATGAATTAAAGATACCAGGAACTTAGCAATTTTTATTTATTCCTCTGAAGAGTTACAAGATGTCAGCAACCCCATAACAACTGCTATTTATTCCACTGAATAATTGCAAGATGCCAACAGCTCAGTTGCTACTGCTATTTATTTCTCTGAATGATTATAAAATGCCAGCAACTCAATAACAACTGTTATTTATCCCTCTGATGATGATCTGCCTTCAAATAGTTACAGATAATAATGTATATTTTCCCTGAAGTGTCAAGTGACTTTAACATTTAAATAAATAGGACTTAAATAAACTGGAAATTTACAGGCAAGAAGAATCATTGTTTTAATTTAGAATTTTATTGAGCTGTGTTGAAGGCACTTGTAATCTGTATATTTGTTTGTAGAGACTTTGCAGTGGTACTTATTTTTGAGGAAGAAATGCTACATGTACAGCACCATGTTAGTCCATAATGCTACATGTACAGCTCCACCATGTTAGTCCATAATGCTACATGTACAGCTCCACCATGTTAGTCTATAATGCTACATGTACAGCTCCACCATGTTAGACCTTGTGATTTGTATAGAGATTCTGCTGTGGTACATATTTTAGTGGAAGTAACGCCAAATATACAGCTCCATTGATTTAGTCAACTTTTAAATATAGAATACAGGCATGGACAATCAGTGATCAGCATGACCATGAATTTTATTTCTGGAGTACTCATCTAGAAGATTCTAAAACCCAGTCTATGATAGGGATGGGTATGTCTTATTTCTTAGAAAAACAGTACCATGAAACATGTTCCCAATCAGTTGATGCCAGAATTAGAGGCCAGATTTTCAAGAATATCTTGTAGTTGAAAGCCCATTTTACATTGTTACACCAGTTAAAGTCTATTTGCTTTAGTATATTTTACATGTATTCACTTCTTGCCTTGAATTTATTTTAGCATCATTACCACCCAATGATACGAAAGTTTGGAAGTCACATAAGCCGAAGGGCTCCAAGCACTGGAGAAGGACAACTTTCAGCAGATCTTTCACGCAAGTAAGGAAGAAATTAAAACTCTAAAGATAAAAATTTTATATTGTAAAGTTGGCTAACATAAAGCAGTCTACAGTTTTTACCCTAACTCTTGGTATGTTTAAAAATAAGTATTTTTTATGTCCAAAAATTTGTGAGAGGGGAAACATTTGTCAGCAGAACTAAAACTTGATTCTGTAGTTAAATCTGCCCCCATTTACATGAATAACCATTCTGGTGGTCTAGTGGTTAGTGTCCACCTTAAGAGTGAAACATTTGTCAGCAGAACTAAAACTTGATTCTATAGTTAAATCTAGTTACTTTCTATACTGTATTTCTTCCAGCTAAAAACAACATAGACTCTGATTTAGTATTTTATAAAGCACATGCAGATCTGTCCCTATGTTGTTTGTTCTACTGATTACTCTTAACAAACTGCATGGAGCCTGTGCTGCTAGTGCTTTATGCAATGACAGATCTGGGTCTGTGCAGTTTGCTTTTGAGCTCAACTTGTAAGCAAGTGTATATATGGTCTGCAACCTCCCATGGTATCTGTGAATTTTTTTTTTGTAAATTATTCAGCAAGCACCAATGATCAAAATAAGTTTTTTTTTTTAAATCTTGAAGGAGCAGTGCATTCCTAACATTTCAGGAATTCCAGAATTCTTTTCTTCATGACCAATAAGGTTTTCATGTGTTTTATTTTGCTTCTTTTTCACTAGCTCTACCTTTCTCAAATATATGGATAGTTTCCAAATGGCTTCATGAGCCACCATATTTGTGGTTAGCAGGCAAATGGTGTTTGGAAGTTGAAATAAATTCCTTATATCTCAAAATATTTTTTTATCAAAATTAAATATATAAACAGAATGCAAACCAAGCTGTTTGTCTGTATCTATATTTGTGATTTTTCAGTTGACTTTCTTTCAGTGTGCCTTGCTAAAAATAGTAAGATTTGGTGATCACATATTGGAGAAACCGCCAGGTTGCCCATTATCCAGTTAAATGGGCCAAATGTCGTCTGCTAGTGACTTGATCGGGAAGCATCTATTGTCTAAAGTATCATAAGCAAGAGAATGTAAAATCTCAGTTTGAAGAGAAATTGTAACAAACTGCATGGAGCCTGTGCACTTGTGCTTTATGCAATGACAGATCTGGGTCTGTGCAGTTTGCTTTTGAGCTCAACTTGTAAGCAAGTGTATATATGGTCTGCAACCTCCGATGGTATCTGTGAATTTTTTTTGTAAATTATTCAGCAAGCACCAATGATCAAAATAAGTTGTTTTTTTTAAATCTGTGAATTTTTTTTTTTTATATCTGTGAATTTTTTTTTGCCAGGTTTAAGAATGAATGTTCTTGTGATAACATTCCATTGAAAATGACTTGTTTGGATAAATGTCTTGGAACATTTGTAGATAATAACTTGCAATGGTTTCATCATACAATTTATATTTCAAAGAAGCTTTATTATTTGGCTAGATAATCAAGGCCTTCATTCCATTACTGTGCAGTTTTTTTGCTGGACAATTTAACTACATTTTGGCTACTGTAATATAATTTGGAGAAACACAGCAGTTTCAATATGAGAAATATATCCAGACTCCAAGAAAGGGCATGTAATATAATTATTAATCAGCCAATATATTATTAAAAATATAGTGCTTGCAATCAAATTATCGCCAATTCATGAAAGAATATTCATGAAAATGGCTAAAGTGATAATATTTAAGGTATTTATGAAATCTGCCCCCATTTACATGAATAACCATTCTGGTGGTCTAGTGGTTAGAGCGTCCACCTTGGATGCAGGAGGTTGCAGGTTCAAACCCCGGCCGAGTCATACCAAAGACTTTAAAAAATGGTACTAACGCCTTGCTTGGCATTCAGCATTAAGAGGTTAGTGTTAGAACTGGTTGGCCTGGTGTCAGGATAATGTGACTGGGTGGGACATCATGCCCCAGTGCTAGACATAACTATAAGCTGACAGACTGTAGACATCATGGAGATATGACTAACACATTTTTAAAGCTATGTTAAAAATCTAAATCACACACACACTTACATGAGTACCATTTTCCAAGACTGGATCTACTGGTACTCCAAATCTAAGTTCATTAAAAGGTCACATTTTGAAGGCACCCAAGCCAAAAAGGAGCTATTCAAAAATAGCTTTAGATTTTCAAGTTCTCTTCTTAAATGTGGAAAGAATTGGTGTACTTATTAAAGTACAAGTTTATACCACCTAATCCTTTTTTAATTTTGTTTTTGCAGCAATTTATCATTTATGTAAATAGTTGTTTATGTACTGTGCATTTGCTGGTGTGTATATGTTTGTGTGTACATGTGTAAATATGTAAGCTTGTATTATATATGTACATAATAGAAGGCCTCAAGGTAGGTTAGTTCACATTTGTAAGTTATTGGAGCACTGCCTGAAAATAAACTTACTACTACTAGTACTATTATTATTATTATTATTATTATTATTATTATTATTATTATTATTATTATTATTATTATTATTATTATTATAATAAATGTTATTGTTTCTTGAGCATAATTCACTAACCATTTAAGGTTTCAATCAGAATTGGTACTCCAGTAAAGTAAGAAGTACTTAGAATTCTCAGCATTCAGCATTTTGTATGTTAATAGTATTGAAACAAAGTTTAACACAAGTAAGTTTTCCAGCTAGAAAGAAATAGGTGCCTGTCCTCTTCTCCTCTCTGTGTATGAATCTGCCCATTATAGTGCACAATTCTGCCTTCTTGGATTGTGAAAATTTGTGTCTTTATGAACACTATATCATATTCCACATGCCTAGTTAGTTAAATTGATTATTTTAATTTTATTCTACTGAGTGGCAAGTGTATGGACTTACAAAAATTCAATTGCTTTTTGGTAAGCGTCTCTTCAGAAACTTGATATTTTTCAAGTAAACTTCTGTTGTAATATTTTGTACTGTGACTTAAATGTTTAGGAAGGTAGCAGGACTTAATATTCTTTTCCATGTTATATTCTGATTTTCATTTGAATGTAATTGTATTTTAATTAGATTTGTGTTTTAAACTTACCTCTTTTTTTGTAAAGATCTCATTCAGGTAATTTTTTCAGAAGTCCTTGTGGCATAGCCCTGCGCCTGAATTGGGTTGTATATCAGTTACTTTTGCTATTTTAAATTTCTTCTCAGAAACCATTGGACAGATTTCAACCACATGTTGCAGTTGAGAATCCTAGCATAAAGGGCGTTTATATCTTGCAAATGATGTCAATTACCTGTCAATTAAAAAACAGACTTGAAACAACAAATTACAAGCAACATAAATTTAACCAAATTTGACAGAAAGCATCTTGGCATAAAGGACTTTCAGCTGCATGCATATAAAATTCATTGGTCATAATTTAGAAAAAAAATTAAAAAATCTTGAAATAACAACATAAAAAACAGGCATAAATAAGTTTCAGATTTTTACAACAGATGTAAATATGCCCTGAAAATTTGCTTTTACTAGAAACAGATAAACCTTTAAATAAATTTTATGTATTTAAAAAAAAAAAAATGTACAGAATTTGATCAACATTGATAGAAAGTATCCTGATGTGAAAGCACTTCAGTGTTGGACTAATGATGCAGATTTGCCTTGAAATAAAAAACTAAAATGGTATCCTTTGCAAACATGCATATGTAGAACAGGCCAAAATGCACTATTCTGCATAATACATGGCGACACCAGTTGAGGTAGGAACTTTTGTGGCTTAACAGTTAGCACATCATACTCGCATCCAAAAGGATGTAGTTTTGAATCTTGCTATTAGATTGATTCAGGTCAACTACCATGGTGTGCTCTTTGTATTTGGTGAGGGAGGGATTTTACTCCAGCTGCCCTGGCACTAAATAACCTGCTACCATGGTATGTCTATGGTCTTTGGTGAGAGATTTACTCCAACTGCTCTGGCACTAAATAACCTGCTTATCTTGCTGTGCTGTAAAACACCAAACCAAACTAAAAATAGAGAGACTTTGAAACAACTGTTTTCATAGCATATACAGTCATCAGCATTGCATGAAAATACCTTTACAGAAAGCATTCTACCGACTAAGATTTGATTACTAGCTGATCTTGCATTTGGCTGTTGGACAGAGATAAGACAGGTGAGTGATCTCAGGTCACCTTGGGTCTGTTGTTGAAAATTTGTGAAATTTCTACCACTATACATGATTCTGTCCTCTTTAACTGTAATAATTTTCCTTGGATTTATCTCATTTATCTTTATTTTAAAAAAGATCTAAAGAGAATATGAGATGAGTTTGTGAATAACTTGTACGCCTTCTTTCAATATGCTCCACAGGGAACCAAAGATGTTGTATCATGACATTCTTAAAAATGAAAGAGAAATTTTTCCATCTAGTCTTCCAGTGAAATCCAAGAAAAAGTCCAAGGTAAGTGATCATTTATTTAAGCTCTGTCTCATAAACTAAGCTTGGCCAATTATCATTATGCATCAAAACCTGATTTGGGTTACCACCTGTCATTTACCATATTTATGATTCACAAATCGATTTTATTAGATAAACACACTGTCTTGAGTGACCACCTGCTGATTGTGACCAGCAGCTACACAATATGCAAAATATGTGTTTTTTGAGACTGTTGTAAATTACTTCATTACAAAAACAAATATAAACACTATTGACCTTTATTAATCCTTTATAACCACCAAGTAATTAACAAAAATGGATGTTCTGTGGAAAAAAGCACTAGTAGCCTTAAGGCATATGTCCTACAACTTAGATGGCATAGAAATAAAATATTAGTTAAATTCTGTTTAAATTACACTCACTTTGACCATTTTAAAAGTCCATAGTGTAATAAGTAGTATTATATTTTTTGGCTGTTTGTATCAAGAATTCAAAATTTTCTGCTTGAATGCATCTATCATTGCAATTACTGTGTTGTTATGGAATTGTGTATACTTAATACTTGTGTATTATACCTAAACTATAATACAGAAACAGACAGACAGGTTTCGTTTCCGAATGTAGCATTAACTGAGAGTGGTTTATTTATATCCTACATTTATTCACAATACTAGTTAGGTTAACACCATGCTGCATAACTGCTTGCAGTAAGAAAACTAATAACCTTGAAGTCATTGGCCATGGGTTGCACCACAGCCAGGTTACTTATATTTAAACAGTAATGTCACAACATAAAAGGCTTTTTTTCCCCTGAAAATCTTAAACTGTAGAGCTGTTTGGAGTGTCTGGAGGTGTGACCATTTGTCTGGATGTGACTGTGTATCTGAATTAGGATGTCTGATGTTGGGGTATTTGCCTGTTTGGGGTGTCTGGAGGTATGACCATGTGTCTTGATGTGACCATGTGTCTAAATTTGTATGTCTAATGTCTGGGGTGACTGGAGTTGTGACCATGTGTTTGAATTGGATGTCTGATGTTTGGGATATCCAGAGGTGTGACCATGTGTCTAGATGTGACTCTCTATAAATTTGGATGTCTAGATGTGGGGTGTCTGGAGGTTTGACCATGTGTCTAGATGTGACTGTGTCTAAATTTGGATGTCTAGATGTGGTGTATCTAGAGGTTTGACCATGTGTCTAGATGTGACAATGTGTCTGAATTTGGATGTCTGGATGTTAAGTGTATGGAAGTTTGAATATATATATGACCATGTGTCTGAATTTGAATGTCAGTGTTCAGATGTCTGCATTTGGAGTTGCCATTTTGGTTGAAGAGCTGATATCTGTAATGCAGTCATAGGACTTATAGGTTTTTGAATGACCTGTGTGCTGTATTTGGTGATGTTGGCTTGGAGGAAGATAGTGGTTCTCACATGTTGAGGAATCTAAGCTTCAGGACTAATGAGTCTGCATCAAACAAGGAAGCTCTTGAGGGATCCTTCAGCAGATTGGGAGTTTGGGCCATGCATGTTCTCTCCTTGATGATTGACTGAGCAGTAGGACTGAAAATACTTTGTGGTTGTCAAATGGATGCCACCTGTTTTATATGTTCCAAGATTTTTTTGATGAATTTGTCAGTATCACATTTTGAGAGAAAAGTGTGTGTCTGTGTTGTGTATCCTAATTGTGGATCAAATTATTATTTGTATTTGTACAAATTGCATACTTTTCTACACCCTTGGTGAGTAATCACATATTAATAGTTATATAAATCCATAATTTGATTTCGCTTGGTGGTAGGTACAACACTGTTCATTTTTTAGTTAATTTCTAATCATTGATCAATATGTCACTCATAATATTTGCATTCCTTAATTCTCGTTGATTACTTGTTTAAGTTGCATGTTAAGATTCTTGATAGGAAGAATATTATTTTTATTACATCAGATGTTTAGCTTAGTGCACACCATTTTGTTTAATCCATTGTTGGATTTTATGCACACGAGTTTGGTGTCAGATTTAATCATTGTTAATTACAATAAATTGCTTTTACTGTCTTCAGTGTAATCTATTCCCAAACCAGATCATTCGGATGCACCAGTAAGAGACACAGAGAAAAACTTTTGTTCACAGCTCTTTTTTCTAGGTTTTTTTAATTTGATTTTTATGCTTTAGTATGTTCAAAGTTTAAGATATCTTGATAGACCATAAAAGTTGGATCCTACTGCACATTACACAGACCCAGATTTGTTGTCACAAAATTGTACCAACAGATTAGGGTGTATGCAATTTATTGAGAATAATCACTAGAACAAAGAGCATGGACATCTGAGAGCGCATTATACAGTTACAAGTGGATGTAGAGGGTATTCATTGCCTGTGTTTTTATTTTCACTTATCAAAGTTTTTTCTACAGAGAGAT